GCCGAGCCTATTTTCTGTTTTTTGATAGTAGCCATCCTAATCGGTATGAGGTCACCTAAAACTTTAAATAATTCTATAACATCATTAAATACCTAGTCAGTATTCATACTTATTTTATATGATTGGCTTATAATTTTTATATAAATATCTGTTCAAAACAGGATCAAAATAAGATGTACACGTTAGTCAGTGCTTCTTTATTTTTTTTTTTTTTTTGGCAGGGGCTGGGTTTGAACCCGCCACCTCCGGCATATGGCGCCCTACCCTTTTGAGCCACAGGCACTGCCCACTTCTTTCTTTCTTTTTTTTTTTGTTTTTTTTTTTGAGAAACAGCCTCAAGCTGTCGCCCTGGGTAGAGTGCTGTGGCATCACAGCTCACAACTACAACTCACAGCAACCTACAACTCCTGGGTTCAGGCAATTCTCTTGCCTCCACCTCCCAAGTAGCTGGGACTATAGGTGCCCGCCCCAAGGCCTGGCCATTTTTTGGTTGCAGCTATCATTGTTGTTTGGTGGGCCCGGGCTGGATACAGACCTGCCAGCTCAGGTGTATGTGGCTGGTACCTTAGCTGCTTGAGCCATAGCCACCAAGCTGGTCAGTGCTTCTTTAAGCCTCTTTTGTCTATAGATTCCTGTTTCCTCTTTTTTCCTTTGTAATTTATATCCCATGCAATCATTTTAAGAGACAGAATATTGCCTTGTCAGCCAGGCTGGAGTACGGTGATGTGAAAATAGCTCACTGCAGCCTCCAACTCCTGGACTCTAGGGATCCTTCTGTCTCAGCCTCCTAAAAAGCTGAGAATGCAAGCATCCACTACCATGTCTGGCTAATTATTTTTATTTTTGTAGAGGTAGTGTCTTGCTGTGTTGCCCAGGCTGGTTTTGAACTCCTGGCCTTAAGCAATCCTCTCTGTTCCAGTCTCCTAAAGTGCTGAGATTACAGGTATGAACCACTGCATCCTCCCAGCTGAAAGCCCAAGTGAGATCTTTTTTTTCTTTTTTGAGACAAGAGTGCCGCTGTTGTCGCAGGATAGAGCGTGTTGGTGTCAGCCTAGCTCACAGCAACCTCACACTCCTGGGTTCAAATGATCCTCTTGCATCAGCTTCTGGACTATAGCTGGGATTCAGCTGGGACTACAGGTGCTCGCTCTAACACCTGGCTGATTTTTTTCTATTTTTAGTAGAGATGGGGTCTTGCTTTTGCTTAGACTGGTCTTGAACTCCTAAGCTCAAGGGATCCTCCTGGCTCTACCTCCCAGAGTGCTAGGATTATAGATGTGAGATATTGTGCCCCACCTGAAATAGGATCTTTTAAAATTACTATCATATTTACATTTTTTGAGTAAGAGAAAGCTACCTTTTTTCTCTACATATCCCGTACATGACTACTTCACTAGCTCTTTGTTAATTCTATCTTCTGTACACTCTTCCCTGTAAGTTGGCATTTTTCTTAAAAGGGAAAGAATTATTTATTTATTTATTTTTTGAGAAGAGTCTCACTATGTTGCCCTCAGAGTGCTGTGATGTCACAGCTCACAGCAACCTCAAACTCTTGGGCTTAAACAATTGTCTTGCCTCAGCCTTCCAGGTAGCTGCTATTATAGGCACCCATCATAACACCTGGCTATTTTTTTTATTGCAATTGTCATTGTTGATTTTAGCTGGCCTGGGCTGAGTTCCAACCCGCCAACCTCAATGTATGTGGCCAGCACCCTACTCACTGAGCTACGGGTGCCGCCCTGTTTTCTCCTTTCTATAATCAAATAATCTCTTATTTTTAGGGCTCTGGACTTGGGCTTCTGCTGATGGGGCTATAGTTGAGTAACAGTATGGGATTATTATCTTTGTGTCCTTGCAAGGGAACATAACCGCCACAGATAGATTTGTGTGGGACATTTTATTTTATTTGTTTATATTTATTTATTTATTTTGAGACAGAGTCTCACTTTGTCACCTTTGGTAGAGTGCTGTGGCATCACAGCTCACAGCAACCTCAAACTCTTGGGCTCAAGCAATTCTCTTGCCTCAGCCTCCCAAGTAGCTGGGACTACAGGCACCCGCCACAACACCTGGCTGTGTTTTTGTTGTAGTTGCCATTGTTGTTTGGCAGGCCCAGGCTGGGTTCGAACCTGCCAGCTTTGGTGTACGTGGCTGGTGCCGTGACCACTGTGCTACAGGTGCCGAGCCTGTCTGGGACATTTTAAATGTCAAAGTGCAAATTACAAATGACTCTTTGAATGCAGCTGGTTCACAGATTGTGGACTGCTTTTAATTTACTGAGTCTGTATGGATTTCAGGAACGTGATGATCATCCCCGGAGAGGACGGGAGGATCGGCAGCACCGGGAACCTTCACAGCAGGAACACAAGAGGTCTAGGAACAGTGACCGAGACAGACACCGGAGCTATTCCCGCCAAAGGAGAACCCCTGGGAGTGGGCAGGCTCAAGGACGGGATCGGGACATTCAGGAGCTTCAGATTCAAGAAGAAGAGCGGGAGTTTTATAATGCCAGACGCCGGGAGCATCGCCAGAAGAATGAAGTTAGTGGCAGTGGTACTGAGTCTCAGGAGGTGGTTCCTCGGCCTGGTGGCAACAACAAAGAAAAAGAGGTGCCTGTTAAAGAAAAGCCAAGTTTTGAACTCTCTGGGGCCCTTCTTGAGGATACCAACACCTTCCGAGGTGTAGTCATTAAATATAGTGAGCCCCCAGAAGCACGTATCCCCAAAAAACGGTGGCGTCTCTACCCATTTAAAAATGATGAGGTCCTTCCAGTCATGTACATACATCGACAAAGTGCATACCTCCTGGGTCGACACCGCCGCATTGCAGACATTCCAATTGATCATCCATCTTGTTCAAAGCAGCATGCCGTCTTTCAGTATCGGTAAGTATACATATGGAGAAAGCAACTAAACTGTCAGCAGAGGCTGAATATCTCAGGTTACCAAGATTTGTGTACATGTTTATGTAGAGGAATCCCATGCCCCTCATAGCTAATGTTAGTCTTTAAGAATATTGTTACTTTGAGGCCAGGCACAGTGTGGCTCACGCCTGAAATTCTAGCACTCTGGGAGGCCGAGGCACCCTGACCTCACAGGTTCAAGACCACCTGGGCCAGCGCGAGACCTCTAAAAATAGCTAGGCATTGTGGTGGGCCCCCATAGTCCCAGCTGCTACTTGGGAGGCTGAGGCAAGAGAATTGCTTGAGCTCAAGAATTTGAGGCTGCTGTGACGTCAGGGCACTCTTATCAGGGGCAACAAAGTGAGGTTTTGGCTCAAAAAAAAAAAAAAAGAATATTGTTACTTTGCTTTTTGAATAATTGCTTACATTTGTATAGCAACATAATACTTGGTGTCAGAACAGAAACTCTGATTGTGAATCTATTCTTACCGTTGGGTCTAGCCACTCTCTGGGCCTCAGTTTGCCTCCATGGGGCTATTATGAGGGTCAAGTGGAAGTATGACTGAAAATGCCTGGCATTTGTGTTAGCTGAATCTGCATCTTGATAGCTTACACAAACCAGTGGTACATCTGTTACCATTTGATTTTCTTTTCTTTTCTTTCCTTGT